TCCTCTTTCACAGCTCCCTCCTAGGGGCACAGGTCCTGTCCTGCTTCCTCCGGTTTGTTTGTTTTTTTTTTCCTTTCTTTCATCCTACCCTGCTACATGGTGATATTTCCTGCCCTTCTGGTGTCTGAGTTCTTCTGCCAGCATTCAGTAAGTTATGCTATGAGAACTGTTCCACATGGAGATGTACTTTTGATGTATTTGTGGAAGGAGGTGAGCTCCACGTCCTTCTATTCTCTTCTATTCTGCTATCTTGATTCACCTGCCTCCAGAGCTTTCTTTATCCCAGAAGTTGAGAACATTGTTGGCTCAGTGAATGACCTCACAAACAACAGCCAGGCATAATGCTATTATTACAGTCATCATCAAAAATTCTAAGGGCTACATGCTGTGTGATTCCACTTATGTGACACCCTATAATGTTATATAAGACAGGAAACAAAGCAGTGGTAGCCAGAGGCTGGGGACAGGAGGAGGAGACTGACTACAAAAGACGTAAGGGAATTCTTGGGTCCTCTACATCCTGGTTGTAGAGGTTACATGCCTGTATGAGTTTGTCAAAGTTAGAATTCTACACCCAAAATGAGTGCGTTTTACTGTACGAACTTTAAAAAAAATTTTTTTTATTGTAGTATAGTTTCTTTACAATGTTGTGTTCATTTCTGCTATACAGCAAAGTGAGTCAGTTATACATTTACGTATATCCCCTCTTTTTAAGATTTTCCCATATAGGTCATTACAGAGTATCGAGTAGGGTTCCCTGTGCTATAGAGTACGTCCTTATTAATTATCTGTTTTATATATAGTAGTGTGTATATGTCAATCCAAGTCTCCCAATTTATCCCCCTCTTTCCCCCGGTAACCATAAGTTTGTTTTCTACATCTGTAACTCTATTTCTGTTTTGTAGATAGCTTCATTTGTACCCCTTTTTTAGATTCCACATATAAGTGATATCATATGATATTTGTCTTTCTCTGTCTGACCTTACTTCACTCACTATGACAATCTCTAGGTCCATCCATGTTGCTTCAAATAGCATTATTTCATTTCTTTTTTATGGTTGAGTAATATTGCATTGTATATAGTACCACGTCTTCTTTCTTTCCTCTGTTGATGGACATTTAGGTTGCTTCCATGTCTTGGCTATTGTGAATAATGCTGCTATGAACATTGGGGTGCATGTCCTTTTGAATTATATTTTTTTCTGGATATTTGCTCAGGAGTGGGCTGCTGGATCATATGGTAACTTTATTTTTAGTTTTTTGAGGAACCTCCATACTGTTCTCCTTAGTGGCTACATCAGTTTACATTCCCACCAACAGAGCAGAGGGTTCATTTCTGTCCACACCCTCTCCAGCATTTGTTATTTGTAGACTTTTAAATGATGGCCCCTGAATTGACTTCTTGCACCTGGCAAGTTGCTGCTATCTGGAGCTCAGCTTTCCTGGGCTCCTGCATTTACGGGAGTTCAGAAGCAGCCCCCACCCCAGTAAGCCCAGCATCTTAAGAATGACCATAGGGCTTCCCTGGTGGTGCAGTGGTTAAGAATCCACCTGCCAATGCAGGGGGCATGGGTTCGAGCCCTGGTCCGGGAAGATACCACATGCCACGGAGCAACTAAGCCTGTGCGCCACAACTACTGAGCCTGCACTCTAGAGCCCACAAGCCACAACTACTGAAGCCCGTGTGCCTAGAGCCTATGCTCCTCAACAAGAGAAGCCACTGCAATGAGGAGCCTGTGCACCACAACAAAGAGTAGGCCCCGCTCACCACTAGAGAAAGACCACGCACAGCAACGAAGACCCAACGCAGTCAAAAATAAATAAATAAATTTTAAAAAATACTTTAAAAAAAAAAAAAAAAAGGAATGGCCATAAAGCACTTTCTGAATATAGTGATGATTTCCCCGTGGCACGGATTCAAGGAAAGGCATTTGGCCCTGTCTCACGGAGCCTAATGATAGAGTAAGAGAGAAACTCAGTAATAAGAAAGCAAATTCAGCATCCCCAAGTTTTCCCAGGTCCTTCCTGTGTATCAGGCAAGATCATTTCTGGTCATTCAATGTCATTTAGTCATCAGTTAGGACTTAATAGATTGCATTTGTCTACCCAGAAAACTATTGGAAAAGCAATAAGCTGCACAAATTAGCACATTGAATATGTAATTCCTGATGTGTAAACCTATAAATAAATTCAACCCAGCTCAAAATTTTATTCCAACTTCTCAGGCCAAGCACTATTAAAACCCGTTCCTGAGGCCATTTTCTAGATTCTGATATGAATGTTGATAAATACTTTGGGGAGTCCTTCATCCATTTCCTAATCTCTTTTCTTATATCAACCTCTAGACCACTTGAGAATCAGACCTTTCTGTCTTTTCTTTCTTCCCTTCCTTCCTCCCCCCATTCTTCCTTTCTTCTTTTTAAATCAGTGAAGCCATAATATTGGTAAGCTAAAAGGGAAATTGGTTAACCTTCATCCATGGCTATCTCAGGCAAATGTGAATTAGTTGGTATGTTTTTTGTTTTAAGGTTTCTTAGCGGCTTAGAGTTTCAAAATCTCAAAATTCTCCCACAAGTCCTCTTTCCAATAACCAGGATACCAACTGTTCCTAATTAATATCAAACATTCTACTTAAGAGACCTGCCAAAATTGTGAATTAACCTGGCACTGTAGCTCATTCTTTGATATTTAGCAAGCACAGCCTGATAGCTACAAGCAAGTCTTTCAACTATGTTACAAAAATGGCTTGTGTTCTACTCCATGCCTTAAAGCAAAAATTTTAATAAGCCCTTTTTTCTTCTTGCTTTATACTATTCAGTTCCACTATGAACAAACATCATACATATTTCTTGGACTGGCACTTCTTGTCCTCTTTGAATTCGTCCAAAGCAAAAGCCATCTAGACCGCAGCTGATCAGCTGTTTTACAGTTGCTATGAAGGCATATTACTTCCATGGCACAAAATATGACTAGGAGCCTTACACTGCTTTGCTCCATTTCATCCAATAACCATACTTTAATAATAATTCCACATTTTCTAAGGATCTTTTGCCTAAAACCCACTCAAGGCTACCAATTTCTATATTGGTAGGTTTCCTTGTTTGACAGCAAAAGAACTTAATCTAATTTTAAAATGAAAACAAGGGACTTCCCTGGTGGCACAGTGGTTAAGAATCCGCCTGCCAATGCAGGGGACATGGGTTTGATCCCTGGTCTGGGGAGATCCTACATGCCACGAAGCAACTAAGCCCATGTGCTACAACAGCTGAGCCTGTGCTCTAGAGCCTGCGAGCCACAACTACTGAGCCCACACACCACAATTACTGAAGCCCGCATGCCCTAGAGTCCATGCACCACAACTACTGAGCCCATGTGCCGCCACTACTGAAGCCCTTGTGCCTAGAGCCTTTGCTCTGCAACAAGAGAAGCCACCGCAATGAGAAGCCCGCACACCGCAACAAAGAGTAGCCCCCGCTTACTGCAACTAGAGAAAGCCCGTGCACAGCAACAAAGACCCAGCACAGCAAAAAATAAATTAAATAAGTAAATAAATAAATAAAATAAAATGAAAACAAAATGCTTGTGGGAAACAACCTACCAGAACATGAAACAAGTCAGCTCTAGCAAGCAGAGCAGCAGGAACTCAGGAGCCATCTTAAAATTGTGGCCAAAGGATGACTCATATTCAGCTTCCTCCTGAGTCCCAAGGAGAGAGTATATGACTGGATTAAAGTGAACTGTGTACAGCTGGCAATGCAAACAAAACCTCAGCGAATGACATCAGAACAGCCCAACCAACACAGCTGGGGGAAGGAGTCTGTATTTGTGTATGCATGGTTTCTATTTGTATTGTAGACAAAAACAACACATTTCATAATTTTAACTTTAGAAAGTTTGTGTTTATAACTGTGCCATCATATTATATAGTTATGAAAATTACATTCTCAATAAACTACAAAGCATTGTTTTGTGAGCATAGACATCCACCTCATTCTTTCCAGTGACTGCTTAATAATCCACTGAACTGATTTTCCACAGTTAAGTAACAAATTTACTACTGCTGGACATTTAAACTGTTCCAAGTTTTTTACAATTCTGTAATGAATGTGCTTATGCATCTATATTTCTGTACCTGTGCTTTTCGAGAAGATAAATTCCTAGATGTAGAATTGCAGCAGTGATTAATTACATTTTTTTTTTTTTTTTTGGCGGTACACGGGCCTCTCACTGTCGCGGCCTCTCCCGTCGCGGAGCACAGGCTCCGGATGCGCAGGCTCAGCGGCCATGGCTCACGGGCCCAGCCGCTCCGCGGCATGTGGGATCCTCCCGGACCGGGGCGTGAACCCGCGTCCCCTGCATCGGCAGGCGGACTCCCAACCACTGCGCCACCAGGGAAGCCCCAATTAATTACATTTTAAATACTGACAGGTCACACCATATTGCCTTCTAAAATGGCTTTCCACCTATGTACCCTCCCAATGTAATATAAAAATATGGTTTCTCACATCTGCAACCGTACTGGATATTATCCATAAAATGTGTGCTGGTTTGTGTTGGTGATGAGGACTTTTAAAATTTCCATTTATTTGATCATTAGTGCAATTAAGATCTTCCTTTATTTGACTGTTTTAATTTCTTCATTTAAGATTTGCTGTTATACTGTGTATCTCATCTTATCAGACTTTGTCAGACTGTATATCTTACCTTATCCTTGCTGCTTTCCAACAGCCCTTTTTTAAGGGCTATATGCTTCGTAATATATGGTTAAAATATATCTCAGTCTGGGGGCTTCCCTGGTGGCACAGTGGTTGAGAGTCCGCCTGCCAATGCAGGGCACACAGGTTCGTGCCCCGTTCTGGGAAGATCCCACATGCCACGGAGCGGCTAGGCCCGTGAGCCATGGCCGCTGAGCCTGCATGTCCGGAGCCTGTGCTCCACAACGGGAGAGACCACAACAGTGAGAGGCCCGCATACCGCAAATATATATATATATATCTCAGTCTGTCATGTGCCTTTTAACTTTGAATACAGTGTCTTATACCATGGAAAAGTTTAAATTTTTTACATGGTCCTATCACTCTGTCTCTCTTCATGACTTCTGGACTCTGTGTCCTGCTTACCAAAGCCTTCTTGAACTCAAAGGGATAGAAATATTCTACATTCTCTTCTAGAATCTTAATATTGTTTCCTATTACATCTCTAATCATATTGAATGAACTTCTCTGTAAGGGGTGAAATGTGGATCTGACCTTATTTCCAGTTGGATAACTGTCAAGCACCATTTAAGTAATCCATCTCTCCCACTGACACATCAAAAATAATTACTTTTGCAATAAACTAAATTCATGGGTATATGATCTTTTTCAAAAATTTCCTTGTGATGCTTTCCTATTTACCATTCTACATGATTTTCAGAACAAAACTGTCAATGTAAAGATATCCTATAGGGATTGTGACTGGAATTGACTGTACAAACATGTTAACAATATTGAAACTTCCATCTGGAAACACAGATCTCCATTTATTCAGAACCTCTATTCTCCTTAACAGAGGTTAATAATTTCCTTCCTATATATAAAACCATGAGTAAATTCATCTATAATTTTTTTCTTCTGGATTTGATATTAGGGTTGAATTAGCCTCATGAAAGAAGTATTCCAAATACTGCAAAATAATCCATTTCATTATTTTTTCTACACTCTAGAACAGCTTAATTATGATTCCTTGAAGGTTTAGAATTAATCTGTTAACCCAGGTGTCTTAGAAGAGGGCTACACTATTCAAGTTCTGTTTCTTCCATTTTAAATATTAGGAATTTTTACTTTCTGCCTTGAATAAATATAGTCTTACATTCTTCCCAGTAAATTCTAGTTCTTTTGTTCCAGTCTTATCCAGAGTTCTAGAATTTCCTAAAACATATTCTATGTATCAGGTCACACTGAATTTCCTCACCAACAAAGGAACACAAACTTATTTTGTGGTGATCTCAAGCTTTAAACATACTACTCATGCTAACCCTCATCATATGCATTGTTTCAGTTCCAAAATTGTTATGATCTCCAAGTACATATACTGCCTTCCAGAGTTCACTGTTTAAAAATAACTTTCAAGCAGACTCTGAAGGATACTGAGCTAACATTATGGAGCACTTAGTCTGGGTCAGACACTGTGCTGAGCACTTTGTATGCATCAAGTAGTTCAAAATTGCATAGCAAGGGTTTTAAGGGAGTCATAAAATTACATTTACATTTTGAAAATACCACTGTGGCAGTAGTGTGAAAAATGAACTTGAAGCGGACAAAAGAGGATGCAAGGAGACCAGTTATTAGACAATTGGAATAGTCCAGGTGAAATGACAGTGTTTTGGACTAGGGCAACGAGAATGGAAAGATGTGGATGAATTCCAAAAATATTCAGCAGACATATCAACAGGACTTGGTGACACAGAAGGTGAGGAAGAGCTGGGGGCCTGACATGACTCTACAGCATGAATTTTCTGATGATGAGCAAGGTGCGCACTTTGTCTGAAGACCTTTCTGCATTCCTTACATTCATAAGATCTCTCTCCAGTGTGGATTCTTCTATGTAGATTAAGGTGTCCAATCTGGCTGAAGGTTTTCCTACATTCCTTACACTGATATGGTTTTTCTCCACAGTGAATTCTCTGATGAATGGTAAGGGATTGCCGATGGCTAAAGGCTTTACCGCACATGCTACATTCATAAGGTTTCTCCCCCGTATGACATCTTTGATGACAAATGAGCAACGATTTTGTTCTGTATGCCTTCTCACACTTAACACATTCGTAGGGCCTTTGGCCAGTGTGAAGTCTCCGATGCTGAGAGCAGGATGAGCTATCACTAAAGGCCTTCCCACATTCAGTACATTTATAGGGTTTCTCTCCCGTGTGAACTCTCTGATGTTGAATAAGGCGGGTAGTCTGGCTGAAGGCTTTTCCACATTCAGTACATTCATAAGGTTTCTCTCCGGTATGAATTTTATGATGCTGTGCAAGATGTGCTCTCTGTTTGAAAGCTTTGCCACATTCCTTACATTCATAAGGTTTCTCTCCAGTATGAATTCTCTGATGAGTAGCCAGCTGTGAACTGATGCTAAAAGCTTTCCCACATTCTTTACATTTATAGGGTTTTTCGCCAGTATGAATCCTCAGGTGACTAGCAAGGTGTATGCTCTGCCTAAAGGCTTTCCCACATTCCCTGCATTCGTAAGGCTTCTCTCCAGAATGCACTCTTTGGTGCTGAGTGAGTGAGGCATGATGGCTAAAGGCTTTCCCACAGATATCACATTCGTATGGTTTCTCTCCTGTGTGAATTCTCTGATGGACAGTCAGGGATGAGCCATAGCTGAAGGTTTTTCCACACACATTACATCTGTAGGGTTTCTCTCCAGTATGAATTCTCCTATGCTGAATAAGTCCTATGTGATCACTGAAGGCTTTCCCACAGTCGATGCAGTCAAAGGGTTTCTCCCCAGTGTGATAATATCTCCAGTGACGGATAAGGGATGTGTTCTGCCTAAAGGCTTTTCCACATTCAATACATACATAGGGTCTTTTGCCAGTGTGACATCTCTGATGTCGTGCAAAGGATGAGCCATCACTGAAGGCCTTTCCACATTCCTTACATTTATAGGGCTTCTCTCCAGTATGAATTCTCTGATGCTGGGCAAGGTGTGCAGGCTGGCTGAAGGCTTTTCTACACTCCTTACATTTATATGGTTTTTCTCCAGTATGAATTCTTTGATGTTGAATAAGGTGAACATTTTGGCTGAAGGCTTTCCTACATTCCTTACATTCAAACAGTTTCTCTCCAGTATGTATTCTGTGGTGCTGGGCAAGGTGTTGACTCTGGTTGAAGGCTTTCCCACATTCCTTACACTCATACGGTTTCTCTCCAGTATGAATTCTCTGATGAACAGTAAGGGATGAGCTCTGGGTGAAGGTCTTCTCACATTCATTACATTTAAAAAGTTTCTTTCCTACAAAGACTTTCTTGTGTTTTATTACCATGGAATTTTTAGAAAAGCTTTTTTTATCTGACTTGTGATTATAAATATTCTCTTCTATATTGTCCAATGAGACAAATTTCCCAGATTTGTTATATTTGTGGTCTATTTCCACTGTAAGTGTTTCTTTATGAGTGATTGTTTCTTGCCTGATAAATGTCTCTTGGCTTAACAACTGCCTCTCAAAAAGATCTTCACATTTCCAATCTTCTCCAAAAGTGGGACACTCAAGTCCATAGCTTATAATTCTCCCCATTAATACATCATCACACACAAATTGCTTCAGGGGTAATTCTTGTGTCTCATATACAGATTCCCAATCTGAAAGATTCAAAAAAGCAAATGTTTCCTTTATCATGGGCTATAACAAAGGAAACATTTAACACAGAAAAGGTGAATTGAAATAATGAATCCCACAAAATGTATGATACACAGGCGTGTCAACTGAACAAATATGCAAGCAGACCCTAGAGAATGAGACCTCATAGAGGAACATGGAAAAGGTGATTTAGAAAATTAAATGTAGGATAACAAAGTCCTGAAGTAGTAATGCAATGGTAATAATATGTTATGCCTATATTAACATAACAGACTATAAATGAAACTTCCTCTATTCTTTCCCACTTCTGAGAGACTTGCATATATAGTTAGGCTAACTTTGTTTAAAAACCAATATCATCACATAACTACTGCCACTCAAAAATCTCTGTAGATTCCCAGAAATCACAAATACTTTGTGCTTTGTGACTTCCCTTGGGATTTAGGTAAAATCTTAAAGTCATCTCTTCATAATCAGAAAATAGTGTCCCTATGAACCATTTCCATGTGTCTTAATACAGTAAACTCTCTTCACTTCTCATAGATCCCTGAACTTCAGGCTGCATATTAAGGGATTTTTCCATTCACCTTCTCACTTTCACCAGGAAAAGTGGAAAGTAGGAAAAGTGTCACATCTTAATAGGGTTTTGCCATGTGTCTTTTTGTAGAAACAATCTTACAGCAATATGTGGGTTGGTATCACTATTATTAATCACGTTCTTATTTCCTGCCACATAAGTACCTGTCTTGCCTTGTGAGCTAGAATATAAGCTTTGGGGAAGGACTAGATGAGCCTTACACACTACTACTAAGTCACTTAACATGCATCACAGAAACTCAGGCATATATAAGAAATTCTCGATAAATCTATAAAGAAGAAATTTGTATTGAAGAGGTGACACTAAGAGAAAAATTTAGGGGAGAGGTGATATCAAGAAAGGGCAAAGGAGAAAGTGCTTTCCTTTCCCATCTTGTCCATAGCAAATTATGGACTAATCCAATGCTCCCTAAATAGTTTTCTATTACATGTCAAGCATTAGGAACACTAGAGTAATTAGACAGTTGTTCTTGAGAAGTACAGAAAGTGATTAGGAAGACAAGGCCAACAAAGGAAGTAATCTGAGAAGAAGAAAATATGGAATATCAAATGCGAACCCATGTGGTAAAAAAGTAAAATTGGTATAAAAGTTCAGAGATGGGAGGGATCAAATCTACCAGAGAAGTTAAGAAAGACTCTGAGGTGTTAACAAGCTTCCTACCCCAGGTCATCTGTGGTATCAGAAACACCCAAGCTTCAAGAATTCTAGAACTGAGGCCATAAGAGTTCAGTGAACCAATCACCTACAGTTTTTCTTACATAGATGGGCTGAGGGGAGCAATACTAGAAAGAGAAAAACAGAAACCTGACGGCATCATCTACTCCTCCCTCAAATTCTTTCTTGTTTGTGAAGGCTGCCTTCATCTCCAGCCTCCCATGAAGAGTCATGGTTGTCCCTTATCTTTTGGGCTTTTCTCAACACAGATGCTGAGATATCTTAGTCACTGAATTATACTTACATCTATACTGTGACTCAACGTCCCAGCAGATTTACAGGCTTCTTTATTCCCTTTCCCTCATCCTCTATCTATTCTTCACATGGCCAACTATTACCTCTTATCAGGAAAGTTCCTCTTTCTCTTTTCCTATTTAAGGCAGATGGTAGATTCCTACATAACCAAAGTATAAAGTGTGTCTAAGCACAGCTTATTTCCCTCCTAATATTTGGGTATTTGGAGGATCCTAGAAGTCTAGGGTCCAAATCATCTCCAAATGTAAAGATCAAATACTGTTATAGAAGTGAAAGGAGAATTTCATAAAGGCATAATTATCACATGTGATCCCAATATTCCCTTGTGTTTGTGAATTTTTGGTTCATTGGGGGAGGCAGAAAATAAGCATGTACACCAGAAAAAAGTTAATTATAGGCTCTCCTAAGTGTTACAAAGAAAATAAACAGTGGCTTAGTAGAGAGTAATTGGGTTGGAAAAGGGAAAAGTTCACTATACAATGTGGTTAGGGACGGCCTCCAGTGAGATGATTTTTGAGCTCTGGCCTGATAGCCAAGCATGGACAGAGAGCTGACAGAGGAGTCTTCTAGGCAGAGAAAATAGGGAATTCAAAAGCCTGAGTCAGTAAAGAGCTTGGTGAGTTCAGAAAAGGTGACCAGTGGGCTAGAGCAGTGCTTTTCAACTGTATGTCAGGCACTCATTGATAATGACATTTGTAAGACACATGGCACTGCTTATGATCCAGAGGCAACCAGACTTGGAACTCAGACTGCTGCTAGCCCCATGTGGTCTTCCAAGGCTTAGAGACTCAGGATCTTGGCATACCTGTAACAAACTTGGAACATACCTGTATACCTTGCATAGTTTAGAAAACTCTGGGCTAAAGTATAGTGAAAAAACTAAAAAGTGATAGACGATAGGGTTGGAGAAGTAGGAAGGAGCTGGTTACATAGGGGCTGGTAGGGTTTGGATTTTTTCTATTTGCAACAGGAAAGCAAAAAAAGATTTAAGCAGCAGGGTATGTTATGATTTTAGGTAGCATCTAATTTTAGAGTTAAGCAAAGATGTAAGAAGGAGAGAAGCTTATATAAGTCTGTATATAGAAAAGAAAAGAGGATGAGAAGGAGCTGGATAAAGATTTTTGCAAAATGAGTTATTAGAAGAGAGTCAAGTAGAAGAGAAGATATTTGGGGAGCCCATGCTAAGTAGTCAAGTTTCAGTTTTTTCCCAGGCTTGAGTCAAGGCGTGACTCAAGGCGTGAGATGTTTCTAAGAGCATAAGAAAGCAGGAAGTATCACCTTGAAAAATGGCTGAGCCATTACCTAGAAAGAATTCCCCTATCTGGTTCTTCCACACTCACCTGGGAATGGGGTTCTTCTCATCTCACTCTTCATCTCCCAAGGCTCTTTCCCTTGCTCCAATAAGGAGATGACATATGGCTTAGAGACACAAAGTCCTGTATACAAAAATCGATATGAAAATTGGCCATGTTTTGGGCATTTCAGCTGGTTCCTTAATTCTGATGGAATGACATTCAGGAATGAATAGATCAAGGGGTGACAGACTATATAAAGCTTTGGGCATAGTTTAGTGGGACTGCCAACAGTCAATTCTATAAAAGTTAAACCATTTTCTAAGGGGCCGGGGCAGAAATTCAGCCCAGCATTTTCGGAGGATCATCAGACAGCAGTAAGTGAGGTAATACAAAGGGCCCCTAGAGGACAGGGTGTTCGACCCCTGGTCAGGGAACTAAGATCCCACATGCTGCAGGGCAACTAAGCCTGCTCGCCACAACTACTGAGCTTGTGCACCTCAACTAGAGAGGCTGCATGCCCATGTGCTCTGGAACCCATGTGCCACAACTACAGGGCCCACACACCCTGGAGCCTGCATGCCACAACTAGAGAGAGAAAACCCGCAAGCCACAACTAGAGTGAAGCCCGTGCACTGCAATGAAGAGCCCACACCCCTCAAAGAAGATCCCACATGCTGCAACGAAGACCCGATGCAGCCAAAAATAAATAAAATAAATAAACAAATAATAAATCTTAAAAAAAAAAGGGGGGGCCCCTAGAGACAGTTTGGAGTTTGAGTCAGGTCAACTGCCTGATTAAAAAAAAAAAAATCAATATTCTTCAGAAGAATATAACAGAATCCAGAGTTTCCACAATGCATTATTTACAGTGTCCAGGATAAAATCCAAAATTACTACATAAAAGGAAGAAAAAATGAATCAGACTCAGAAAAACAATTAATGGAGACCTAACCTGTGATAACACAGGACTGATAACATAGAATCAGTAGACTAGGCTTTTAAAACAGTTAAAATATCTATATTCAAGAATGTAAAGGAAAATATGCTTGTAATTTCTCAGCAGCAAAATAGAAATTATAAAAAAGAACCAGTAAAAAGTCTAGAATTGAAAAATACAGTATCTGAAATACAAAAATTCTCCAGATGGGCTTAACAAGACATTGAAAAAGACATGGAAGGAATCAGTGAACTTGAAGACACAACAATAGAAATTATCTAATAAATCAATAGAAAAAATTAGTTGAAGAAATAATGGCCAAAAATTTCTCAAATTTGGTGAAAGACATATTTAGTTTCAAGAAGTTCAGTGAACCACAAGCAGGTTAAAAGGGGCCTCTAGGCTGAAGCCCGCACACCTAGAGCCCGTGCTCTGCAACAAAAGAAACTGTCACAGTGAGAAGACCGGGCACTGCAACGAAGAGTAACCCCCGCTCGCCGCAGCTAGAGAAAGCCCAAGCACATCAACAAAGATCCAATGCTGCCAAAGATAAACAATAAATAAAGAAATAAATGTAAAAAAAAAAAAAGGGGGCCTCTGGAATTTTGCTGGGTGGTCCAGTGGTTAAGACTCTGCCCTCCCAATGCAAGGGATGTGGGTTCAATCCCCGGTTGGGGAACTAGAATCCCTCATGCCATGCAGCACAGCCAAAAAAATAGTAATATAATAAAAAATAAATATAAAACACCCTCCTAGGGAAAAATGAGGGAAAAAAAGGGGGGGGGAGCTCTAGACAACAGAAAGCTAATCCAACCAATGGTGGGCCCCAGGGCTGAGAAGGGTCCATTTTAGTTTCCCTAAGAATATCTGAAGCAATTTTCATAGTTTGTGCCTCGCTAGTTCATTTATTGCAAGTTAATAAAAATATACAGATTTTAAAGCAATATTCTGAATTTTTAACAATCCAGCTGTACTCTTTGTGAACTTTGTTATGGTGGTAACAATACCATAGGACAGAGGAAACAAGGCAGCACAGGAGACCAGTGAGAGTCACATCACATCCTGTTCCCAACTAACTAAAGGGCACACTCATGAAATATCTGATACACACCAAATTCACTTATTAAATCTGAAATTTTCATCAGTTCCTGAATACCCTCTTTATTTCCCAGATTCGATTCTGACCTACACACAGTAAAAAAAAAAAAAAAAAGTTTTAATAATTAAACAAAAACCAAAACCTAAAGAGTCCCTAAGGGTAATTCTGAACTATGAGAGGGGAAAAAATCCTCACCCACTGATACCAGGCTCTGATAGTTCTCCAACATCATACTCCTGTATAAACTCCTCTGAGCAGGGTTCAGCCATTCCCATTCCTCCTGGGAAAAGTCTATTGCTACATCCTTGAATGTCACCAAGTCCTGAAATGACACAAAGACATTCTTGATCAACCAATGCTCATGTCCACACGTGACTTCGAGTTGAAGTGTTAAGCTGTCCCTACTTTATGTGAGAAATAGCCCTTAGAGAGAAAAAAAAACTTAAACATATAATATTAAACGCTAACCTAAAATAGTACTTATTGAACTAAAATGCTAACCTAAAATGCTAAACTGCATTGTATATGATGGTGCTAATCCATTTCTCAGCATGGGGAAATATGGACAGGTGGCCACAGGGCAGTAAACAAGGGCTTCAAGTAAGGACGTATACCTGTGGTTGAACCTTCCAAAACAGCAACAAAAGAATATCTAAGTTGATATTTTGTAAATTGTACTCTATGGGATCCTAGTGTTTCAGGGGAAAGAGGCATTGAACTGACATGGCTGTGGTTTTTTTCTTACATAATAAAAATATGTATCTAGAATGCAATTTTTTTGTGCTGTACCATTAAGAATTAATTAGCATGCCAGGCCATACCACAGTGACCTGGATAGCAATATGAGAAATCACCCAGCATAAGACTACAACACGGGCTTTCCTGGTGGCGCAGTGGTTGAGAGTCCGCCCGCCGATGCAGGGGACACGGGTTCTTGCCCCAGTCCAGGAAGATCCCACATGCCGCGGAGCGGTTGGGCCCGTGAGCCATGGCCGCTGAGCCTGCACGTCCGGAGCCTGTGCTCCGTAACGGGAGAGGCCACAACAGTGAGAGGCCCATGTACCACACACACAAAAAAAGACTACAACACATCTAACTTGTGTGCTGAATTTGAGTATAACAAACCAATATATACTTAGACAATATCAAAATGAAATAATTATAATTTTTAGTTTCATAAAGACTTAATGTCCAGTTACCATCACCATCAGGTTGAGATAAATTTTTTTTCTTTTTTTTTAAATTGAGGCATAGTTGATGTACAATAAGTTTCAGGTGTACAACATAGTGATTCACAATTTTTAAAGGTTATACTCCATTTGTAGTTATTATAAAATAGTGGCTATATTTCCCTGTGTTGTACAATATATCCTTGTGGCTTATTTATTTTACACATAATAGTTTGTATCTCTTAATTCCATACCTCTATCTTGCCCCTCCCCCCAGTAGCCACTAGTTTGTTCTCTATATCTGTGAGGGTTGTGACAAATTTTTTTAAGTATTATGGGCATTTTCATCTTCACATTTATTTCCACTGAAAATAAAAATCTTTGTAATGCTGTGTTGTCATTTGCAGCAACATGGATGGAACTAGAGGGTATTATGCTAAGTGAAATATGTCAAAGAAAGACAAATACTGTATGATCTCACTTATATGTGGAATCTAAAAAACAAAACAGAAACAGACTTTGTATAGATGTAGAGAGCAAACTGGTAGTTGCTAGAGAAGAGGGGAGTACAGTATGGAAAAGTGGAACAAAAAAGAGTAACCTTACAGTGCAGAAACCTGACAAATACTACCTCAACCAGGTAATCAAGGTATAGTAATAACTCATGTTGATAGTATGAACCCTTGATATATGGTGAAAATGGAACTCTGTGATCTTCCTTCTAAAAACACATTACTCCAGTCTAACCAGGAAAAAAACATCAGGTTTGAGAGATGTTCTGAAAAATACCAGAGAACCTCTCAAAACTGACAAGGTCATCAAAAAGAAGGAAGGTATGAGAAACTGTCACAGACAAGGAGACAAAACTACCTAGAAGATAGAACTACTAAATGTAATGTGGTATCCTGGATAGGATCCTGGAACAGAAAAAGGATATTAAGTAAAAACTAAGGAAATCTGAACAAAGAATGGACTTTACTTAATAATAATGTATCAATATTGGTTCATTAATTTTAACAAATGTCCCATACTAATGTAAGATGTTAGAAACAGGGGAAGCTGAGTGTGATGCATAAGGATCCTCCCTGCTATCAGCAAATTTTCTATTATTAAAAACAGTTTATTTTAAAAAATCTATTTTAAAAAGTAAATCCTATAGGGAGTTCCCTGCTTGCCTAATGGTTAGGATTCCAGGTTTTCACTGCATGGCCTGGGTTCAATCGCTGGTCGAGGAACTGAGATCCCGCAAGCCACACAGCGCAGCCAAAAAAAAAAGTAAACCCTATCAAAAGGAAGACATCAAAGCTTTAAATTATCTCTAAGATTTTTAAATATACAAAGTCCAGCACTTAACTCAAAATAATGAGGCACATAAGACAAAATTAAGAGGAAAAAAATCAGAAAATAAAAACTCACAGAGGGACTTCCCTGGTGGTGCAGTGGTTAAGAGTCTGCCTGCCAATGCAGGGGACATGGGTTCAAGCTCTGATCTGGGAAGATCCCACATGCCGTGAAGCAACTAAGCCCATGCACCACAACTACTGAGCCTGAGCTCTAGAGCCTGTGAGCCACAACTACTGAGCCCACGCGCCTAAAGCCCGTGCTCCGCAACAAAGAGAAGCCACCGCAATGAGAAGCCCATGCACTGCAACAAAGAGTAGCCCCTGCTCGCCACAACTAGAGAAAGCCTGCACACAGCAACGAAGACCCAATGCAGCCAAAAATAAATAAATTAAATAAATAAAATGAAGTGGGAAGAAGAGGGGGCTCTATGCCTCATCACACTCAGTTTTATTTACCCATTAGGCAGTCTGAGTTAAGGACAGTGCTCTCTGGGAGAAGTGGGAACCAGGCCCTTAGATAAGACTGTTAATCAGGGAATTTTCAAAAGGAAAGCAGCTTTACAAATTCCTAAACAGTAAGACTGCTTTTCAAGAAGGAGAAATGAAATAACTAACCTGAGGTATGGCTTTCACTAGTTCAACTGTCATTTTCGCCTCCTTTTCCTGGCTTTTCTCTTGGGGAACAGCACTGTCCTGGAAGGGTAAGGCTGAAGGGAGAAAAAGGAGAGTGAAAAGATGAGGCCTTTGCACTCCCAGAATCACCAGCCTAAAAACTCCATCTTCTCCTTCTTCCTCCCAGCCTTCTTTGCTTCCACTGCCCACATAACTGGGAGATTATGGGCAACCGATGGCAGTTGAGATGTATAACTTATAACTCTGTTTCTCTTATGCTCAAGGTCCTAAATTTAATCTTTTTTCTAAAAGTTGCTTTCCCATTCTTTGGTCTTATTATGAATAAAAATAATGAGACTTGCTAGGTACTCTGCATAGATTATCTTCTCTCACCTTATTTTTAAAATGATCCCATGAAATAGCTGTTTCCTCTATTTTATATTTTGTAGGTAAAGGTGTACTCTTTCCCTTCCTGCGTCCCTGCTTCATGCTTTGATACAGTCTTCAGTTTGAAAATCTGACTCCTAAATGCCACCAGAGGCCAGGGTTATCCACCTTCTCCTGCCAAACCCCCAGGGGCTTTGCTTTCCTCTCACCCTGGGACAGTGGATCCTTTAGCACTCAATTCTGCCACCTTCACTCTCATCTCTGTCTTCAACCCCTCGGTTTCCCCTCCTTTTTGTCACCCAGAACTGAGGGTGTCTCCTGCTTCAGTCAGGAGCTCCAGTCACCCCACCTCTTGCTTCTCACTGGAACTCTTGGACTGGGAGCAGGGAATTCTACTCCAGGATCCTTATCCTGGCAACACACAATTCCATAAAGCAACACACACAAAGAAGCCAAAGCTATCAACCTTCCAAGTAGTCTCCCCACACACACCACAGTCACACAGGGCCAGTTACAACCATACAGGGTAACACACAGACACTGACACAAGACCTCACATACCTCCTGATTACACAGAGGACACAATCGCAAGCACCCAACGGAAGGCACATCATATGCAGTCACATATATCACAGTCTCAGAGAGGCCATGGGTACAAACACACATGGTGATACACAAACATCACACATATACCCCCAATCTTATTCTTTCACACACACCCATGGCTCACTGCCCCTCATCTCTGTCTCACTCACACCCACACTCTCCGCAACCTCACAGAAGCTATATTTGCAAGCCTTGTGACAATCCATGGTTCACAGTCTCTCTCCTACTCACTTTGGTGTCACACACATCACTAGTTTTCCTCTCTCTCTCTCTCTCACACACATCCTTAATGATCTCTGTTTCAGAGACACACGGAATTCTCACACACATAGATACACAAACACTGCAATTGCTACCTCTCTCACACACACACAATACACACTGGGGTCTCCCTCACACTCGGACACACACGGACTGTCATAACCTCACACGCTCACACCAACATGCTTTCGGTCTCTCTCACACACACACCCGCCCCCACGATCTCTCCCTCTCAGCCTCCCTGGGGCCCCACACACTTGTTGACCTCTCACACTCGGGCACACCCGTTTCCCTCACACACACCAACATGCTTTCGGTCTCTCACACTCACAGTCAGGTCTCTCTCTCTCTCACACACACACACCCGCTCTCAATACGATCTCTCCCTCTCAGTCTCTCCCGGGGCCCCACACCTGCTGACCTCTTACACACAGGCACATCCGTTTCTCTCACACCCACACCAACACACCCCGCTCGCACTCTCTCTGTATTTTTCACAGTCCAGTCTTGCCTCTCACACACACGCCGCTCCAGCCGCCCCACGCCGCTCCAGCCGCCCCACAGCCCAGAGCCCGGTTCGAGCCGCGGCCTCGGCGCACCTGCGCGGGCCTCTGGGAAATGTAGTCGGTCCGGGAGAGACGGCGCAGCGGCGCTCAGGCCAGGGCTTCACGGCCAGGTCCGAGCCGCTGGCCTCGCTTGCCCTGACCCGCCCCGCCCCGCCCTCGGGCTTGGACACCCGACCACCCAAAACAACCCAGAGGCCTCCCCCCGGAAGCCAGCCGCACTCACCCGAAGGACTTCGGAGCCGACGCCCGGGAACCGAGTGCGCAGGCGCCGAATCTCCCAGGTGGGCGGAATAAGGGGAGGGGTTAGACTCGAGGGGCGTGGAACGGGGCGTGGTTTAACGGAGAGGGGCGTGTTCTTAGGCTGTAGAGAATGGGAGGCGGAACCTTAGCGTCAGAGCGGGGGTGCCTGCGCAGGTATGTGACTACGCTCGAGGGTCTTGGCCCAGGGTTTCAGCAGAAAGACTACGATCGGGGGTCGGGGCCCAGGGTTTCGGGGCGCGTGGCGTGGCTGGGTGCGAGTGTGCGCAGGCCCATAGAATGCGCACTTGTCCCTCCCGCGCCTGGAGACCAGAAATGTCCCTAGTTACGGGGTCTAAGCCAGGTGCGGCGGAGCCCCTGGTGTGCTCCTGTGTGTACCTGTGATTTGACGCTGTCTGTGTCCGTGTGACCGCCGTGTCGCTCCGAGTGCGGCCCTCTGAGCCTGTCTGCGGGAACGTGATTTTCTTTCTGTGCTAAGTTTTATGGCAGCAAGATCAGCGAGGGAACCCCGAATAGGCTCTATCACCTCTGTGATAACAGCAAATTATTACACTTCTCACCTGCAAAATGGGAATGTCGTTATTATCACTGTTCAGAAGTAGTGAATATGAGACGCACGTCTTTGGACCAGATCACTGGAATTGAACCCCATTCTGCCCCTGACCAGAGTGTAAATGGTCCGTCGTATGGGAGACTAAGAAAACGGTAAATTAGTAGCTGCTTTGGAAGTTGGAGTAAATAAGGAAAAGCCGTTCAGAGGGATATAGCAGAGGAAAAAAACCCCACAAAATCCCCCCGACCTCTCAGATCTTACTTTCAAGTGAATAGAAACAGACCACCAAAGAATGAGTAAAATAAATAGTATATCGAATGTTGAAAAGGCTGTGGGGAAAACAGGGAAGAGGAATAGAGAGTAGAGGAAATTAGAATATTTATTGTCAAAAAATGAGTAGTCAGGGCATTGCAAACTTTAACCATCATTCAAACTTTCATCCTGAATTTCAACATCGGCTCATTTGGGGAAGGGGGCGGCGGGAGATTCTTTACGTTGAATCTACTGTTATATTCTACCATTTCGTATTCACCTTGTTTGTAGTAACACTTTTATGTAGTCTTTCGGTTTGTATTTTCTCATTTTTCTATTTGAACTCAGAGACGCCTTAAGTATTACCCTCCACCAATTCTGCCGTGGATATCCAAAATATTCTAAGACAATTTACTGAATAAATAGTCTTATTTTCCTGCTGATTTGAAATGTCCAAATCTGTTGTATCGTAAATCTCTATACGTGAATCCAATCCATCTATTTATGGACTCGGTGTCTGTTTCAACCCTCACACCCCACTCTTCTCTACGGAACAACTATCACATTGTTTTAATAGTGGGAACTTTATACTTCTGTGTTTGATAGTGGGTACCACATTTCCTACGTAAGCGTTCACCATTTGCAAAGTTGTGGTATTTATTCTCGTGGATTCCTCCTTTGTGTGGATTTTAAAATTGTCTTGGAAAATCTCCTAATAAATACTATTGGTACGTGGATTGGAATTTTAGTGAATTTATAGATTAATTGGTGGGGGAACAGACATCTTTGAAATTAATAATTTTTCCTTTCAGGAATATAACGTTCCATTTACCATGTTGTTTTCATTCTCCTTTATTAATATTTTATAGGTATATATTTCATTCCAGTCTAGTATTTTTTTCATACTAAATCTATTCCTAAGGTTTATATTGGCTTCATCACCATTGGGAAGGATTTTTTGTTTTGTTTTATTCTGATTACATTTTTAACTGGTTACTTGGGTAAGATTGTTTCTTCCTCTGTTCTAGATCAGACCGGGTTTTTAATCCGCTTGTCAGTTCCATTATTTTGTTTGTTGAATCTCTTGAATGTCTAAGCTGTACAACCATATAACAATTTTTTTTTCTTTTTCTATCCAACATTTACCTCTTATTTCTAGATTTAGTGTGTTGGCAAGTTTCTCTGATATAATACTTGTCATGGTAATTATGGGTCTCTTTGTATTGTTCCTGTCTTGACCACAAATACTATCAATATTTACCATTAAAAATCAGGCTTCCTGGGCTTCCCTGGTGGCGCAGTGGTTGGGAGTCTGCCTGCCGGTGCGGGGGACGCGGGTTCGTGCCCCGGTCCGGGATGATCCCGCGTGCCACGGAGCAGCTGGGCCCGTGAGCCATGGACGCTGGGCCTGCGAGCCATGGCCGCCTGGCCTGCGCGTCCAGAGCCTGTGCTCCGCAACGGGAGAGGCCACAGCAGTGAGAGGCCCGCGTACGCAAAAAAAAAAAATAATAATAATAATAATATTGTTAGGCTTTTGAATCAAACTAAGAGATTTTATTCCATTTTGAAATTGCAGACAGTTTTCTCTGGTTTGGATGAAATTTATTTGTTGGAACCTACGGAGATGATCATTTCTTCTTTAAATTATTCATTTTCTGAGCTGTGTTAATAATGTGAGCAATCATTTATTCCTGGGATGTGCCTTTTTTAGTTATGGTGGGTTACTCTTCAATGAAGTTGGTAGATTAAATTTGTTAACACTGCATTTGGAAGTTCTGCATCTATATTGATAAATAATATTGGTCTATAGTTTTCTTGTTTGATGCCATCCCTGTTGGGTTTTTATGAGTACATTTATGTATGTATGTGATAATATTTACAAAAGTGTCTGGAATCATTCAGACCGAAGTTATTTTTAGTTACTTCTTGGGAAGAATCTTCAAACGGTAAAGACTTATCCAAAGGAAATTTTGCTCCATTTATTGTATATTAGTATATTATTATATAGCATATTATAGTTCTCCACTGGGGCGATATCATCCCCAAGGGGGCAAAAAATGATTTTTTTTAAAAATTGATTCTTGGTGGGGGAAAAATATTCCTTTATTCTTTAAAAGAAACAGACATACATAAACATATATATAAACATATACAGTACTTCTGTGGTATTAAAATTTCATGGAGGTGGGAATGATTAGAAAAAGAAAAGTCTAAAAAAGGTTTCTTGGGAGGACAATACTGAAAAACAGTTTGAGAAGACAGTGATCTCTCTATATATATTTTGCTCTTTCATAAAGTAATATGTTCTTGTTTTATTTGAATCACTAGAAAATTAAAATTATTGAGTAAGAAAATATCAAAATTAAAGTAACCCTCTGGTCAGGTGATTCAGATTTACAGCCAAGTTTGGAATTCACTGTCATCAGAGATGCATAAGACTCCTGGATCTAGGATTGGGCAGGTTGTTGGGAAAACAGGCAGAAACATAAAAGGCATTGTAGTTCTTTGATATAATACTTTGGGTGTGGGGCCCTTAGGAGAACTCTGGTAGAACTATGATTATCTTAGAGAAGGAAACCGGTGATGAGATACACAGGCGAGAGTAGGAGTTTTCCACCCAACACTGCGTTTGGTGGACTCAGAATTTAGAATATCCATGTTGTTGACGTCATCAAAGTGAGCCTTGGCAGTTGGGAGACAGAGGTTCCTAATGAAAACGGTATGGCATCCTAGAAGAAAAGAAAAGAAGAAAAAAAAGAAGAAGGCATCAGTTTAAAAAAAAAAAAAAAAAATCACCGTGGGAAATGCTGTTTCGCAGTACGGCAGCGCCACCTTCCGGACAGAGGCCCCAGGTGCAACGGCTCTATGTCCTGGAAGCTGAGATTTCTCTCTTGGAGGCCTTGTGAGTCTCCCCTTGACATCCGCATGCCTGAGCAAGTCGACGAATGATTAGCAAGCAAAGGACCCCACTGGCTTCGCTGGCCAAATGAACATAGTATATTCAGGGGTGTAGCCGACACGGCCCTGGCGTCATCTCAGTTTTACACGAAGGGGTGACAGCCACCCTTTCTGGGAAATTCTATCCCTATCTCTGCCTCCTAAAGATGCACTAGCTCTAGGGGCCTTTTTTCACAGAGGTTCCTCTGAGACTCCTGGGCCCGATTTGTTGATATTTCGGCCAACAAGAAGGCTGATGGTACCTGCTGATGGTGGCAGCTCTCCAGACCGATGACAACCTCAAAGAGGAAGAATAAAGGTCAGGTAGCAGAACAGGTCAAATGAAAAGCCATCAGCCTGCCTTAGACAACACTCTAAGAACTAGGCCTCACAAAACACTAAGAATCTAGAGGAGCAACGGCCTACTTTCTACCCAAACAGGAGAGAGAAGAAAGGGCAACTGATTTTATTAGTAATTGTTACATACTTTACTTAAAAAAAATTTTTTTTGGAGTATAGTTGATTTACAATGTTGTATTAGTTTCTGGTGTACAGCAAAGTGATTCATATATATATATATATATTATGTATACATGTATTCTTTTTCATATTCTTTTACATTATGGTTTATTAAAGAATATTGAATATAGTTCCCTGTGCTATACAGTAGGAACTTGTTGTAATTTTTACATACTTTAAAAATCACAGCAGTTGGCTAAGACAGGGAGAAATAGGTCATACTAGTTGTCTCACATTTTAAGAGATACGATATGCAAATTGATGCAAAACAAAGCTTACGACTGTTAAAATAATCCTGGGATCTTAGATAAGGAATTTCCCCTCCCTAAGAACCAGAAAATATATTTCATATAAAACAATAGTTCCTGGGGACCTCCCTGGTGGCACAGTGGATAAGACTCCACGCTCCCAATACAGGGGGCCCTGGTTCGATCCTGGGTCAGGGAACTAGATCCCACATGCATGCTACAACTAGGAGTTCACATGACGCAACTAAGGAGCCCGCGTGCCGCAACTAAGACCCAGTGCAACCTAATAAATAAATGTTTTTTTAAAATTATCATTTATTAAAAAAACCAACAATATTTCCTATAAAATCTCTACTGAGATTGTGTCCAGTGCAGATGGGGGTCCCACTTAATACTTCAGGAAGATGAGATATTCATGGTTATATTTTATTATTTTTTTAAAGATTTTTTTTTTGATTTGGACCATTTTTAAAGTCTTTATTGAATTTGTTATAATATTGTTTCTGTTTTATGTTTTAGTTTTTTGGCCACGAGGCATGTGGGAGCTTAGCTCCCCAACCAGGGATCAGACCCGCACCCCCTGCATTGGAAGGCAAAGTCTTAACACTGGACTTCCAGGGAAGTCCTTAATGGTTTTAAAATACTGTCAGTTTAACTCTAGTCAACAAATATTCTCTAGGCACATGTTGGATCCTGAGAGTTCAGAAACCAATAAAATAGAGTGTCAGCCCATAAGGAGTTCATGGTCAAGCTAGAAACACAGATAGGCACTTTGTATTAGTCAGGTTTTTCTCCAGAGAAACAGAGTCAATAGGACGTATATAGACATAGAGATGTATTGTAAGGAATTGGTTCATTTGATTACAGAGGTTGGCTAATCCAAAATCTGCAGGGTGGGCTGGCAGGCTTGAGACCCAGGAACATTGATGTTTCAGCTCCAGCCTGAAGGCCATCTGCTGTAGAG